GAGCCAAGTTTAGATTCCTATCATCCCCAGTTCGTTTTGGCTCCCTTTTTTTCATCTCGACTGGTTCAGTCTTCGATTTCCCCACGCCCTACATTTATTTTCCCCATCCCCCATTAGAGAGTTAGCCTCTTGATTCTGTTTGATGAGAGAATTCAGCGGCAACTCTGATTTTTTGTGGGGTGGGCGGGTCCTACTAACATCAATTATTTTCTGTTAGATTCTGTTTTATATTTTTTGGTATTGCGATTTAGAACCTTCCCTATCATTTCATCATCGTCATATATATATATATATATATATATATATATATATATATATATATATATATTAAGCATTTTACCCCAAGGCGGGAAGCCACTAGGACGCAAGAGGTTACAGAAAGTTTAGAGCAAGATCAGGTAGGAGTGATAGAAGAAAGGATGAGGGTAGTGGATAGATCAAGGCAACTGGAGATGTCGATTGACATTACACTTGAATAGCTGGAGATTATAGCTCACAGGGAAACAGGAATAGGGAAGGGAGTTCCACAGGAGAGAGGTGCAAGACATGAAGCTATTAGAGTAGAAGAGACGGCTACATTTAAGAGTTTCGACAGTGAAGGGGTGAGTGCGGGATGCCAACCTCGTAAGGCGCTGGAACTCATGACGTCTGGGGACCAGCCAATGCAGCTCCTCGGAACAATTTCCATGGAAATATTTGTAGAACAGACAGAGGGAGGCGACGGCGCGTCTGTGAGAAAGTGACTGTATATATATATTAAATCATGGGGTTAAATTTTAGGTTCTTTTTGTGGATGTGGTATTGTGGGATATGTAGGAGTAAAAGGTGGATTCTTTCGGTGAATGGTTGATTTGTATTGAATGATTGGGCCGTGAATCGGGTTAGCTAGGTATCGGATAGGTAAGGATGATCAATCCCACTCCCCACTTTCTAGGCCATGTGCCACAATTATTGTATTTTACAATAATAAATAGTATCTCTCCTTAATTCAGTAAGCCATCTCTTCTTTCTCTATTGTTCCCCTTTCTCTCAAGACTGTGGTGTACTCGATAGGATTTCCGATAATAGAGACAAGGCTATCTCTCTACATCCGTTTGCACATATATTCGTGTTCGGTGACTTTAACGTCCACCATACCATGTGGCTTAATCCCTCTGTAACTGATATCGCTGGCATCCAAACCCTTAACCTTTAAGTTATTCAATCCTGGCGGCTCTGCAACTGCAGCAAAAGCACAACCCTTCCTCTGTTCAATCAATTCGAAGTCCTAAATTCCGCAACTGATAAAGCTAAATACTTTGCTCGAAAATTCTCATCCAACTCAACGCTCGAGTCGTCCGGAGTACCCACGCCTGATTTTCCCCCTAGAAATGAGGCTCTGTTGAGTGAGATGAGCATAAACCACTCGATGGTATTGGACATCATCTCCAAATTAGACTCTCATTAAACAAGTGCTTATAACGGTATACCAACGATAGTCCTAAAGTAATCCGCCCTTGAGCTGGCTCTAGTTCTCTCCATACTATGTAACTATTTTCCAGCCTGTTGGAAGTCCTCATCTGTTGTCCCTGTTTTTAAGAACTCAGGAGACTCTTCTGACCCCCATCTAACTACCATCCTATCAGTCTCCTACCACTCTTCGGCAAGGTTCTCAAATCTTTAATTAATGCCGAAGTGGTTAAGCATCTTACCTCTTATGACCTTCTCTCTGACAAACAATATAATTTCCGTTTGACCGGTCTACCGTCGACGTGTTAACGGCTATATCTGGATTTGTGTATCATGGTGAAGCTCGAGCTGTGGCTCTAGATATCTCTAAGGCGTTTGATAGGTTTTGGCATGCCGGTTCAGGATATAACAGGAAGATTATTTGATTTAATCCAATCCTTGCTGTCAAATCGCGATATGAAGGTCGTTCTAAACGGGTTCTCCTCCAGTTCCTTTCATACGAACGCTCATTTACCCACCATAGAGAAACCTCCCTGATCCAATCAGCGACTCTCTACGCCTTCTTGATCTCATGCTTTCCACTCACCTGAGGTAGAACAACTACATTGAATCAATAGCTACATCTACCTCAAGGATTTTTTTCTCTGTGTCGCGCCGGAAGGTTTTTCACGTCTGAGTCCATCCTTCAAATCTACAAATCAACCATTCGTCCTTGCATTGAATATTGTTGCCATATATGGTCTGGTCCAGAGATAGATATGTAATGCGATCTGGTATCTCGTATACAGTCACTTTCTCACAGACATGCTGTGGCTTCCCTCTGTCTTTTCTACAAATATTTTTATGGCAAAACTTAATAATAACGACCGACAATGTTTCATCTTATAAAGATGAAGATGGAAGTAAACAAGGGTTAAAAATTAATACTAACAATTGAAAATCCAACATTGCTGACAAAACTAACCTGTCCGTTGGTCATGAAAAGGACCTCCAATCTGTGGTTGACTGGGGCAGGAAATGGCTTGTAAACTTTAATGCCTTCAAAACGAAGCTGCTCTCATTTATTTACTATAGAGAAATCTCGCTGCCTCCTAGTAGAATGGCTGATGCTCAACTCCACGAGAACGTCTCTCTGCGCATGCTTGGTCTGACGCTTGGAACAACAACATTGAATCAATAGCTACATCTACCACAAGGAAATTTTTCTCTCTGTATTGCACCGGAAGGTTTTTCACGTCTGAGTCCATCCTTCACATCTACATATCTACCATTCTTCCTTGCATTGAATTCTAGTGCCTGCGTTGTTCATCTCGAGGTCCTCAACAAAATTCAAGGACGGATCTGCAATGTAAGAGGTCCAGACGGGATGTGGCTTCCCTCTGTCTTTTCTACAAATAATTTCTTGTCAACTGCTCTAATGAGCTATTTTCACTGGTGCCACAAACACATGAATTCAAAGATGTTATAAGATTGATATCTTCGTCCTGTCCTTTCACTGTCGAAACAGTTAAATGTAACCACCTCTTCTACTCAAACAGCTTTTTCTCTTACACTTCCTGACAGTGGAACTCCTTACCTCTTACTTCCCTGATAGGTATAATCTTCATAAATTTAAATGTAATGTCAATCGACATCTACTGACGCCTTGATCTTAATCCTCGTCCTTCTTTTTATCCTTTCCCTAAACACCCCCTCTTTAATCTTACTTTCAGTCTCTGTAAAGCCCATGCCTGCTAGTGACACTCCCCACCTTTTTTCGGTGTGAAATGGTTAAAAATTCAAATAAACAGACAGTGCACAGTGTTTGATAGACCACCACCTCTTTCTCTCTCTCTCTCTCTCTCTCTCTATATATATATATATATATATATATATATATATATATATATATATATATATTAGCAGGTTTTAATTACAGATAGTGTAATTTTTTTATAGTAGTTAAATGAACGGAAACTATTATTTGTCACCAGGACACAAATATTTTGATCTGAGACAGAAATTGTGATCCAAACGTGATTAATACCATAATTGTTATCTGTATTATGCCATATATATATATATATATATATATATATATATATATATATATATATATATATATATATCAACACTGCGTGGAGACAGTCTGTTTCACAGTGTTATTGGTGTTATTGATCTCAGCGTCCATTAAGCCCGTTTAACTATAAATTTAGTATATCTAGCTATATTTTTTTATTATATATATATATATATATATATATATATATATATATATATATATATATATATATATATATATAAGAAATATGTTGTAGTGGTTTCAACGAGAGAAAAGTATGTATATTAAAAAGAAGAGGGTGCCGCAAACGTTTTTTTTGGTTGTAATGTGGATTTATTGAGAAAAAATATTATACTTTGTTTTACATAATTTCACGACACGTGTTTCTAGTCTGGTCTCGCAACCGTCTTCAGGTGAAAGTGGAGATTTTTACATATTATTAAAAATAATTAATTTTTCTTCATGTTCAATGTGGAATATTGTCGATATGAGACATTCTGTTTGTGTGTTGGCAATCCGAATTTTCTTTCTAGAATATATATATATATATAAATGCATACATATTATATATATATAAATGCATACATATTATGACATATTGGAAAAAACTCAATACTGTTGTACTGTTTGTTTATATACAGAATTATACAAAAAATATATATATATATATATATATATATATATATATATATATATATATATATCTCATGTCTGGTAGAAGCAGTGAGGAAAAAAATTAAGTCTTTATCAAAAACATCATGTGTAGGAGATCGTGTCAGCCATCTGAAACAGAAAATTATATTATGTTGAGGTGACAAGTTATTCGGACCACCCTGTACATATAGGATTACAGTAACATCAAACATTGAAACGGACCTTTTGGGATTAAGGCTTTTATTTTGAAATGCATGCCTGGTGTATCTCATTTCTCGTTTCAAATATTTAATTTTTCGTTTGTCATCCAGAAACCACTTTTCATTAAGAACACACACCTTATCAAGAATAAGTATGTTTCTTAACGACTAAGAATATTTTATTAAGTTTCAAGCTGAATTAAATTACTACTCACAATTATAATTTCTTCACTTTTGCCCAAAGCGAATTTCGTCTGCAAAGATGCACAGACGGTTCGGAACTTGGTCCTATCCCAAAGGCAATGCTGATATATCTTTAGCTTTGCAAATGCCGAGCTTAAACTTATAGAATGACAAGAAGATTGCTTTTTTCCCATCTTTGCTTGGGTAACCTATAAAGAGTAAAAAAAATAGTAAAGGCTTCAAATACTCAAAGGGGGAGATGCGGAGCTTTAAAATGATTTATAGAGGCACACATGAATAGAAGAGAACGATACGATAAAAACCCCGTTGTATAAATGCAAGCCAAAAACGGTAATTTATTTAGTTCTTATCTAATATATTGACGAGAGCGTGCCGAAAAGTTCACGGCCTGATCCAAGTTTCAAAATCTGATCAAATGACCAAACATCGGAATTTTGTGGTACTTCAAGTAGCGAACTTTTCAATACCTTCGCATAACATCTATCTATCTATCTATCTATCTATCTATCTATCTATCTATCTATCTATCTCAGTCTGTTCATATCTATCTATCTATCTATCTATCTATCTATCTATCTATCTCAGTCTGTTCATTATCTATTTATCGATTTATCTATTTATCTTAAGATCGATCGATCTATCGATCTATCTATCTATATGTGTGTGTGTGTCTGTATGATTTGACTACCCAAAATTTCGAAATCTAATCACATTCATAAAAAATCACATGTGTATACATAATTCCAACCACTACACAAACACCTAATCTTGTTCAATGTTAATGGCTATCGATTGATTTTTTGCGGCTTATCAACCAATTTTCGGCTATTTAATGTCGAGACTTATTGTAAGATTGTAAGAATAATTCATATTTTATTCTTATTTTTCGAGTGCATATTGTATGGACATTCTTTTGAGAATAAAAATGATTCTTCCGGACGCAAAGCTCACTATTTAACCCATAGCTGAGGTATAGAATAATTTATACCTGGCTTGTGGGTATTTCTGCGTAAGTAAATGTATTGAAACCTACAGGAATTCAAACATGGATCTCCGACCTAGATCTCTCTCTCTCTCTCTCTGTCTCTTTATCTCTCTCTGTCTCTCTCTCTCTCTCTCTATATATATATATATATATATATATATATATATATATATCTATTATCTTAATAATTTTACACTTTTTACACACACACACACATATATATATATATATATATTACATGAAAATATATCTATATATATCTATATATATATCTATATATATATATCTATATATATATATATAGATAAATATAATATAATATAATACAATATAATACATACATATATATGTATATATATATATATATATATATATATATATATATATATATATTACTTGGTATAACAGATTTTTCACTTTTTTACCATACTATGAACCAAAAACAACTGCCATCATCCAGAAATGTTTCAGGTGTTTTGCAAATCCAAGACATATATAAATATTCCAGATACAAGAGAACAATCTGGGTAGACTTGGCCAGGATATTATTGATTAATATACAGATCGATCTTGACAAAATGAGATCTTTCGATCGGCAGAGGAGACAGTCTGAACGAATCACTTATAAACAGGAAGGGTTTGCTTCGAGGACTAGACAGTTATACATTTATTATGCGGTGCTACGTGTCGGTACCGTGAGTCTCGATAAAAAGGGCGGATTTTATTTCGAAGGCAGGTAAGATGCAAGTTAGAAGCAAAACAATCTTTCTTCATTAGTCTGATCGTTTGGATTTATAATGGAGCTTTGTAATCATCACGGTATGATCTATCTATCTATCTATCTATCTATCTATCTATCTATCTTAGTCTGTCCATATCTATCTATCTATCTATCTATCTATCTATCTATCTATCTATCTATCGCAGTTTATTGATATCTATCCATGTATGTACTTATATATATATATATATATATATATAAGTTTATTCATATCTATCTATCTATCTATCTATTGCAGTTTATTGATATCTATATATGTATGTATTTATATATATATTTATCTATATCTAAGTTTATTCATATCTATCTATCTATTGCAGTTTACATATATATATATATATATATATATATATATATATACCTAAGTTTATTCGTATCTATCTATCGCAGTTTATTAATATCTATATATTTATCTATATGTATTTCAGTTTATTCATATCTATCTATCTATCTATCTATCTATCTATCTATCTATCGTTATTATTTTGAATTCCTTTCCCGCAGACGGGCAAGCTATTTGCTTGCTTTGGAGACTGACGCTATGCAAACTTCAAATATCCTATTTCTTTATCTCAGGGGAAGTGTTCTCTTAAGGTACGACCCATCAATCCAGAATTTAAATTCTAATTCTTTTTTCGAAGAAAACTGCCAAAAAATTACTTCAATTTCCTATTTCTCCTCCTTTTCACTTGTAACGTATGAATCTAATTTGAGGATTTCGAAGGCTAGTTTTCAAAATTTGCTCACTTGGATGACTGGCGTGACATAATCTTCCTAGTCTGTGTTTCTCTTTTTGCATCTTTCTCCGTGGCAAGTTAACCTAAGCTGAGTGTCATAAACAAAGACTGAAAAAAATTTTAGCGGTAACCAAAAATAAAGAAAGAATAAAATTTGACAAGAAAGAAATAAAAATGCCCGAAGATAGATGCCTTAGTTTTAATGGAGAAAATAAATATTTTCTTCTATCAAAAATCGGGTTGCACTTGCCAAGTGGCCAGGAAAAGCATTGATTGATGGAAACAGTTCTTAAGACCATCCGCCCTACACTACCAGCCGGGAATGCTTCCAATCCTTCCACCTTGACCCTCACCTCCTTCCTGCCTCTTGCAGCATAACCATTGGCAACAAAACGCTATGAATCAATGGGTTTTTTCTTTTTTCTATTTTTTACTTTTTTTCGACTCCCTCTGATAATCACAAATATTGACCGTACGCTCACTGGCAAGTCGATTCTTATTTTGTCTCCGTACGGAAATCATTTTGCCACGCCAGTAGCGCTCTCTAAGGTGCGGGGACTTAAGAAATTGTGCTGAGGGGGAAAAAAGACAGTAAATCTGCAGCGGATACCGATACTTGTAGGCAGAATAAAAGGATCTATTCACTACGAGACCATTTGGCCTTTTGCCACACTAAGCAAATCTCGGTAAATAGCTATCCATTCAAGACATTATAAAGTATTTGAACAAAAGACTGAATAAACATGCAATTTCTCTAGTTTTAAGCATTTCTGTGTGGTTTCTGTGCGTGTCTATGTTTGTATGCACGTGTGTGTCTCTGTGTGTTTATGCATGTGCGTGTGAGTGTGTGCCCGTTTTCAACAGTGTTTCTTGCCCATTAAAATCCCCAAGCTGCTCAATCCAGTGCATTAGAAGCCGGTTTAAGCAATGATATACAAGTGATAGAAATAATTAGGAGGATTTTGTTGCAGTTTTTTGTGTATATGTATGTACTAGCGAGCAAGTCAAAATGAGTTGACTCACTTTCTAGTCCACCAATAGAAGACGTAAAATATTCAATCCGTCGTGTATAAAGGCGGCCATTTTGTTTACTCTATCCGTATGACCAGCACCAGCTTGTCAGGCGAAGAGGAACAGAAGGAAGAACTACGCTCTGCTACTTTACCGGGATATCCACTGCGAACCTTAACAACGCTTCCCTACTGTTTTTGAAATATTCACTGCTAACCTCTGGATTCTATACTCAAAGACGACCGTCATCATGAACAATAGATTTGAAATAATCATAATTAAGTAATTCATCGAGTCTAGGAGAAACCTCAGCAGAATGCAGAAAGCACTGGACGTTATCATTAATTTGGTTAAACCAACTTCAAAATACATGTAAAATTTACCTATTATTAAGCTTTCAAAGAAATACGCTCATGATCCCATTCTGACGTAGTCTTTTAAACCGGCTGAAAACATGAAGCAATGAATACAAAAAAAAATGGAACAATTTATATTCTTTGCTATAGATATATTGTTTTAAACAGTCATATTTAGCACGGATATTCACAAGTCATCGTGACTGAGGGTTTGAGCGTATTGGCCTTTTTCTAATTGGTGATAAGGCCAACTTATGCGCCCTATTTCAGAAATAGCTACAGAGATTTTTCAACCGCCATAAAAGATTTGTTTTCTCAGCAACGGAAAGCCAGCGACACTACATTAAAAATACGCTCGCAACATTTATTAGAAATGGATAATATTGAATAAAGCATTTCGGGCCGACAATTTCGATAACCAATTCATAACATTATCCGTGATTATAATAAGCGGCTTCCTCTGCATTTATAAGTCTTTATTTCTTGAATGAGTCTTTGAAGCGAAGTTTCATAGCAATCGCCGTTGGTGTACGCAAGAATTTAAAGCGAAATATATTTTTCACTAGTGTATTCAAAAATCTAGTTTAAAAAAAACTTTAGCGATTTTTATACACACGCACACAGATCTAATTTATTTGTTAGTGATTTAATTGATACTAATTTTCTACTTGCTGTATTCTTTGTCGGTCTCCTGTATAATTGATAAGCAAGAGCATTATAAAATCAAATGGTTGAAGATAGTGTGCGTAATGCGTCTGATTTGGCTTGTTTTTTTTACGGTATATCAACCTCAATGTGTTATTTAATGCTGACAAGATTTTTATTGCTCGTAATATTTCTTTTCCAAAAATGCATTACTGGTAATATTTTATTTTTCAAAATTGTATTGCTGGTAATATTCTTCAAACATGTATTGCTGGTAATAATTTTTCTTCGAATATTCATTGCTGGTAATATTTTTTTACAATTATGTATTGCTGGTATTAAAACCCATTTTTAAACGTTTTGAGCCCTGTCTAGGGGTTAAATATTTGCCCATAGCTGGGACCCTAACAGGTGCTACCATCCCGGCTTAGGGTGGACCTGGGAACACCAGCAATTAACAGGTGGTTCCACGCTCGTGAAAACTTCCTTGCTGCTGGACGTAGTTTATCGTCTTACCCAAGACGCGGATGTAGTTTATCGTCTTACCCAGGACGCGGATGTAGTTTATCGTCTTACCCAAAACGCGGTTGTAGTTTATCGTCTTACCCAGGACGCGGATGTTGTTTATCGTCTTACTCAGGACGCGGATGTTGTTTATCGTCTTACCCAAAACGCGGTTGTAGTTTATCGTCTTGCCCAGTACGCGGATGTAGTTTATCGTCTTATCCAGGACGCGGATGTAGTTTATCGTCTTACCCAGGATGCGGATGTAGTTTATCGTCTTACCCAGGACGCGGATGTAGTTTATCGTCTTACCCAAAACGCGGTTGTAGTTTATCGTCTTACCCAGGACGCAGATGTAGTTTATCATCTTACCCAAAACGATTCGTTTACGGGGGAGGGACTTACCCCTCTGCAGAGGTGCAGCCGGCAGGGCGTTCAATGCATCCGATCAGAAATTTCATCATTCATACCAATAGCAACATTCAAAAAGTACAAACGGTACATTATAACTTCAAAAGATATGATGCAAAAATGTTGGGCATATTTCAGTAAGTTCATTTGAGGGTCACACGCTGAAAACTTTGGTTAAGCAAAGAATGGAACTAAGAGCTTGCAAGCACTGACCTTGTAATTGGCGGATATGGAAGTGCATTTAGAGTTTTCTTTAGAAATGGTTCGATATTCCAAAATCCAACAAATCTTAGTGGAAGGTCGGCAAGTGCAACAGATGAAATGTCATAAAAATGATGTGAAAATTTGTTCGAATAAAGTAACATATAAAAATATCTGTTTTAGCCTTTATCATATTTAAAAGATTAACGAATGGCGAATTAAATTTTTAATTATAAAAAAATAGTCACTTACATTATTTACAAAATGTGTTAAAAGGAAATAACTGAGACAACCGGAACAATCCACCACTGTGGACGAAATAAAGGGTTCGGTTCGAAATTCTAATCGCCTGAAGAAGGCCGAAGCGTACAGCGGCCGAAACGTTGTGAATGGCAATGAAGATGAGAATAACGGTCCGAATAATGTAAATAATGTAAGTAACCCTAATGCCTCATCTCAGTGATATAAAGGCAGAAACGTTGTTAATATGGCAATGAAGATGGGGATAACTGTCCGAATAATATAAATAATGAAAATAAGCATAATGCCTCATCTCAGAGATAAAGACATATAAAAATAGTCATCATTTCTTTATTTTGCTCCTTGTCACATTGTCTACACCTCGTGTTATCAGACACAAAATTTCGCGATTTTATGGAATAAAATATCATTGTTAGTAATATATATTGTTTGAATATTTTTCTATCACCTTATTTTTCTTCATTGTTTCCACCTGGTCTTAGTAATACATGTATTAGTCACGGACGTAATATTCTTAAGTTAGCTGAACAACTTTGATGAACGCTTGTCATTATTGTTAATTTTTAGTGACAATATCTTTAAACTTACTTTTTTTTTATCGGATAATGACCACATAATCTAAGGCTTAGGTTTATAACTTATCGTTTCGATCCAAAATCTCTGGACAATAAGTAACGTACGTAAATTATGTGTATAAACGTATAGACAGACGATTATTGCAAGAAGGTACTTTCGAAGAGATAATTTTGTTTTAGTAGTTTACAAGTAAATAAACCAAAGAGTGGAATTTAGAAAAGGGCAAGGAGATACAAAATTTCAGAGTTTGATATTTCGATTAATAACAGGGTCACTGAAAATGGAAAAAAAATAAAAATGGCCGGTTTAATGCATATTAAATGATGTTCTTTCAAATCCGCGGGAATCTTGAAAAGTTTTCGACACAACCCACTTTCCAAAGCCAGTGTATCAATAATAAAAAATTTACAACACTGATTTTGAGAAGTGGGTTGGGAGCTTTCCTGATGATGGAACAATTTTAAGTTCCGAAACATAGAAATTTTTATGCAGCGATGTAAAATATTTTTATATATATATATATATTTTGGTCAACGTTGAATCGAGCAACTTTAAAAAAAAGTAAATGCTAAAGAACTGTTTATTCTTATCGTGACTGTTCTTTTTTCTTTTTATATATATATATATATATATATATATATATATATATATATCATCATCATCATCATCCCCTTAACTATTGTAATTGTAGGGCGGATCCGAATTCAGAATCCACGCTAACACTTTTCCGCAACGGTCTATCAACGTCAGCCATCTGAAATTCTGGTACAGTCATACCTGTCCATTGTTTGACATCGTCCAACCAGTTTTTGCTTTGGCGTTCTCTTCTATATCCGCTTTCAACGGTGCATTGCATGATGGTCTTGCACAGGCTGTCGTGCCTTGTAATAT